TGCCGATCCCGGCACCGCCCACCTGCCCACCGCCTCTAAAAAGGCCATTTCCTCGCCGAGAAAGAGAGGGTTCGCCGCGCATCCTCCACCCCGATCCTAGGCGAGCTTTTCTGACGCTCAGGCCATGCAAGCGGGGATACCGATGGCTGTGCACCTACCATGCTCTCCAGGTGTTCGGCGATTTGTCTGCTCGGTGATGGACTCGGATGACGAGGCGACGTTCGCGGCGCTGCTGGAGGAGGAAGCCGATGCCGACGCCTAGGACGAAGAGCACCTCATGGTCCTCGCTGCTTTGGCGGGCCTGTTCACGAGAAATGCAAAGCCGCGGTGAGGTGGCTCGGCGCCGGGTCGGCAGAAGGCAAAGCAGAGCATCGACTAGAGGGTTATTTATTGTTGTACGCCGACTACTTCGCCGACGCTCCACTGCACGACGAGAAAGTATTTTGGCGCCGTTATTGGATGAGCCGAAAGCTCTTCCTTAGGATTGTGAATTCCATCCGTGAGTTCGACAGCTACTTCAAGTGCAAGAAGGATTGCACCGGCACACTTGGATTCACCTCACTCCAGAAGTCTACGAGAACTATGAGGATGCTTGCATACGGAGCTCCCGGGGATATACTGGAAGACTATGGACGCATGGCCGAGTCCACTACCATTGAGTGTTTTTACAAGTTCTGTAGGGAAGTGGTGGCAGTGTTTGGACCTAAATACTTGCGATCTCCCAATGCTAAAGACACTGCTCAGATCCTAGCACAGAATGCACCAAGAGGATTTCCTGGGATGCTTGGAAGCATCGACTGCATGCATTGGGCATGAAAAAACTGTCCATTTTCTTGGCAGGAGGTGTACAAAGGCGCCAAAGGAGCTTGCAGTGTGGTACTTAAGGCAGTGGCAACACAGGACCTCTGAATTTGGCACTCCTTCTTTGGTATGCCAGGAACTCACAATTACATCAACATACTGCAATGCTCGAATGTCTTTGCCAAGCTTGTTGAAGGTCATGCTCCTCCGGTGAACTTCGAGGTCAATGGGCGCTACTACAACAAGGGATACTACCTAGCAGATGGCATCTATCCGAGATGGTCCACATTTGTGAAGACTATCTGAAACTCTGTGCCAGGAGGCAAGAACTCCTACTTTGCCAAGTGTCAGGAGGCTTGCACGAAGGATCTCGAGAGGGCATTTTGTGTGATCCAATCTCGATTTGCTGTTGTCCAGTACCCTGCTCTGACGTGGTCGAAACATCAAATGTGGGAAGCCATGACTTGCCGTGTCATCTTGCACAACATGATCATTGAGAGCGAGCAGAAGAGCCAGTGTTTGACACTGAACCGTATTACAGGCAGGGTCCTTTGCCCAAGTTGATCATCAGCTACCGGCAACCTGAACTGCCTTCCTCAATATGCATTAGGAGATCCGAGACCCATAGGCGCATCAAGAACTACAACACGATTTGGTGGAGCACCTATGAAGGCTCAAGGACAACGCCTAGCTCGATGTGTGATGAACTATGAGCTTTTATTTGTGTTCAAATTATGAGTTTGATTTGTCAAACTATTTGATTTATACGATTTCTGCGATGAAG